CAACCTTATATGCCGCGAGTACATCTCCGAGCAGCAGTCGCTTGATCCTGGGTTCACTATGATACCTGTGCTGTTCGATGGAAGCGACAATGAACAATGCCGAATACCAGAAGTACAGGCCAGAGTGGCTCGCTTTACCCTCTATGGCAACCTCATAGCCGGATTACTCTCAGCAATCACCAGTCCCAAACTGGGAGCTTTGTCAGACCGCTACGGCCGCACAAAGATGCTCATGATCACTAGTATGGGAACAATTGCTGGCGACATCATCACGGTCTGCGCCGCTACAAACCCCGAAACATTCCCTGTTAATTGGATCCTCCTTGGTTTTGCTTTGGACGGTATCTGCGGTTCATTTATCGCGGCTATGGCCATCGCTAACGCCTACGCTTCTGACTGCACACCACCAGCTCTCCGCAACGTTGCTTTCGGATACTTCCACGCTTGTCTGTTCACCGGCATTGCATTGGGCCCCATTCTTGCTGCATTCATCATAAAGGTAACAGAGTCCAACGTTAGTGTGTTCTATGTCGCCCTCGGAGTCCACGCTTTCTTTATCCTCTTCCTCGCGTTTGTCGTTCCAGAATCGTTGTCGAAGCGTCGACAGCGTGCTGCAAAGAGAAACACAACGAGCAGAAAGCTCTTGCTGGACCTTCGAGCGATTTCATCAACCAAATACGCGCGATCAACCTGTTCGAACCATTGAAAATTCTCTGGCCCACTGGTGAAGGCAGTTTTCCTGCTCTCCGCCGGAATCTGGTGTTCCTTGCCGCAGTCGATACCATTCTTTTCGGCGTGGCCATGGGAAGCATGACCGTCATTATCATCTACACGAATTACGAGTTCGGCTGGGGCACCTACCAATCCAGCATCTTCATGTCCGTCGTCAATTGCTGCCGCACCCTTGGTCTTATTGTCGTTCTTCCCACCATTACCCGCCTCGTCCGTGGTAAAAACGCCGCCGCCAAACTGAAGAGCTCTGGCACCGACAACTTCGAGCTGGCGATCATTCGTACCGCCGTCTTCTTCGACACCCTTGGCTATCTGGGTTATGCTCTCGCACGAACCGGCCCGCTTATGATCCTCTCTGGCGCCATTGCTAGTATCGGCGGCATTGGGAGTCCGACGCTGCAGGCAGCGCTGACGAAACATGTCCCCAGTGACCGCACCGGTCAGCTGCTTGGTGCAAGCGGTTTGTTGCATGCGCTGGCAAGAGTGGTGGCACCTACCATCTTCAACGCCATCTACGCCGCTACGGTCGGCAAGTTCACGCAGACGGTGTTTGTGTGCCTGACCTGCACGTTCGGTGTAGCTTTCATTCTGAGTTGGTTTGTCAGGCCGCACGTGTACCTGCATGAGGCGGGAGATACACCGCCGCAGACGAGCGATGGTGGAGACACCGAGATAAGGGAAAGGATTGGTGCCTGATTGAGGCAACCCCAATTCGCCTTAACATTTCCTAGTCCTGGTGCGTAATGTTTGTTCTCTCTTACTCTTGTTTCTTTTATGAATACTCGGCATGGCGGACGGCATCAGCGAGGGGTTTTCAGAATGGTCACGCCGCATTGTTCGCGAACGATTTAATGAGCGCCAATAGATTGTATATACCCTTGGCCAACCTGGAAACAAAGCAAGTCGCATGGAACTGTATTCCCCGCGTGCGTTAACGTGCAGCAATGTCAGTATCAGTCCAGATCGGACCAGATCCCAAACAGCCAATTGGAGCCATCAGTACTCTGCCAAGACTGTTCGTCAACTTGGCTTCTTTGGACAAACTGCATCTCCATCTCATCTCTCCTAGAAAATCGGTCATACTCATCCACTGGTCTTTCGCATCTGCACAAGATAAGGGCATAATCTAGACCAGTCTGTCACCTACAGCTCCTGCACCAGAAGGCGATCCGAAAACCACAAACGCTCCCCGTACAAACCAACCAGGAATACACTTGCTATGCCGGCCTGCTTGCTGTATTGCGGGCGCTCTGCCATTGATCACACTGAACGGATGTTGAAACTCACGTCCATCATGGCGCATTAAGCTATCTCAATGCTGGGGAAAGTCCGGTCGTTGACGTCGGAACAAACAAGGCTTCACGTTGAAGAGAGGAGATGGTGCTCTTTTGTTCTTCAATTAGCAAGCACAATTCTGATTAGGTCCGCTTGCAAAGATGAACCACCGATGTATGACTCACAGATTTCATTGGTTCCAATGGTATGTTTATCTTTACCGTCCGCATGCATGATGTCGCAGATGATGAAGTGACAAAGCAAATAGCTGTTACGACGAAGGCTACAAAAGCCCTGCTTATTCACGCTCAGTGCTCTCAATGGTCATGTCTGACTGACTGACTGATTGACTACTACCGCAAGGTAGCTGTAGCTACCAGGCAGCATGAACTTTTACCTGCCAGAACATACCGCCTTCATAGCTGCGGCCAGGGCCTGAGGTCAAGCACAGCATGATTCGATCACACCTACAATGCACGGATGCAGATACGGTAAATGATGTCGCTACCTTGTTGAAGTGGTCAGCCAGTCAACTGGACTGGCTGTCAAGACGCCTGTTTGTGTTCCACTCCCGTCATACATCATTCACTACACCATGGGTTCCCTCATCACGTTTCTCCTGTTTGCAACGCTATACACAAGGCCGTGCGCCTTGAACTCATCAACTTCATGAGACTGTTGTCACTGGATTCACTTTTGGGGCAGTTTCCCGGAATTCGGTTGGTCGCTGGCATCCGCGATCATGCGCGGGCTCTCTCACGCTTCCAGATAGGACACGTCGTTTGACGAGTTGCAATATCCCATGACAATGCCTCATAGGAGCCTACCGCGCTCGTGAATGGTATGACCCAGAGCTGATCCTGGCTACTTAAGGCCCCAATCTTCTCGACCTGGACTCCCTCCTCACACATCAACCCGCACAAAAACTTCCCGACGGACCACCACCTCTTACCTCCAAGTCAAACATCCCTCGCTCACACCTTTACTTATATCAATCGATCAAGACCAGAACCAAGATGGACACCCACATTACCAAGATCGGTTCGAAGTACAATGGCGCTCGCCGCGGCAATACCAACGACCGCTCGATCATGGCTGCAAACAAGATCGACGTTGTGGACTTCTACACGAGGGACATAGGGAACACTGGCGACGGGGCTCTAGTCTACGGCGGTGCGCCAAAGAACCTTCTGAAGCGCTTCTCGAGAATGGCTCGTGAGCTCCTCAAGCAGGAGTCCGGCAATCCAACGACGCCTATCACTACCGCCACTGCCTCTACTATTGTTTCCGCTAACACTGGTCCTCAACGCACGAAGCTCTACCTAAACGTCCCTTCCGCGTTGCTTCCCTGCAAAGCCACGCTCGATATCGTCATCGAATGGATGCGCATCAACCGTTCCAGCAAGATCAACGAGCCGGTTACTCCTCTTCTTCCACCGAAGCCCGAGGAGAGCACTATCGTCAGTCTCGTCGAACTCTACGCTGCCGGAAAGCTTCTGAACATCCTACCCATGAGCGCACTCGACGAGCTTCACACGATGCTCCTGAACCGCATCACCACCGAAGTCTCTGACGTCTCCACCGTGGAGATGCTGTATATACAGCTTCCTCTGAACCACGGCCTCATCTCACGCATGATAAATGCATACTACGACCACCACGAAGCGGGCTTGATCGACGACGAAGCAGATGCCAAGATTTACGCCTTCACGGACCGCCACCCTGACCTCGACCGGCGGTTTCAGGACGTTCACGCCCATCGTCAGCGTGTGAGGCGGGAGGAAGAGAAGCGCCGGGCCAGACAGTGCCGCCGTGCTCGTCAGCAGTACATGCAGAAGAAGCGGGAGGAGGCCAATGCCGAGATTGAGGATCGTCGCGTTCGTGCTGCGAACGGACTGGACTACCTCTACGAGGAGGACATTGACCGCATGAAGGCGGGCGGACTGAGAGTCAGCACAAAGTGAACCATGCAACACTTACAGCTAGGGGGATGGCTGGGATGAAGTGGACAACGGATCGAGCGGTGATGGCATGATGAATTGTCTTCGAAACATAGCGATGGAGTTGGGCACGATGATGGATTCTCATTTCCTACTTTTTCCAATTCTCGCTCGCACTGTGTCAGCTGGCTCCTCTGGCGAGGGTCTTTTCTATCACGGATTCACAGAGGTCCTCATGAGCTCTCTCTCTCTCTCTCCATAGTATAACCGATATCAAACCAACACTTTCGACTGTCATACTCCATCTCCCATAACGCAGTGCCCCTACGTGACACAAATGGCAGCCTTATAGGTCTTGAACCCTGCCGCATTGCCCCGCCGTCACGAACATCGCTTGACCTACCTCATATTTGTGAAGGAAAAAAAATTCTTGCCAGCTGACTTGAATATCCCCTTGCTGGGCTACACAGATATCACGGCTACCTTTTCCCGCAAAGTAGACGTACCTCTGCAGCGGTGCCATACAATTTGGCTTTCTCGTCCTCGGATCCGCAATCCCCCTTCCACCATGCTGAGGTCAACGTTGCTCTCCACGAACCAGACCAACAGCTCAATACAGTAGTAGAATCGCATTAATTGAAAGTGCCACACTCAAGGAAAGCGTCGAGAACAGGTTACGGGTTCACTATATGTCTCCTCATCTCCGCTGGTCCAGGGGAAGGGGGTTAGCTCCCAATGCCGGGGCGGAGAACAGGATACACCGTCGACGCGGTTTTCGTCCCCCGGGGAGGACACAAGCGCCCGATCGGGTCGAGCCAAAGTGAAACGATACGTATCGGGCCAGCTTACGGGAAGAAGTACGAGAACTCGGGTTCTGGGACGTTGACACACACAGAGAAGTTCAGCTGAGCGCAGCAGGTGTAGTTGGAGATCTCTGGGCGATGCGAAAGAACTATACCGTGCGCCAGTTTGCAGTGGACCCGACCCGGTGATACATGCAGCTCGCGATTAGATGATATATTGTCAATTTTGAAAATTGGTACGATCATAGTGGGGGCGGTAGCTCAGTGGTAGAGTATGGGATTGCAGTCAAAACGTTTACGGCAACTTAATCCTAGGGTCCCGTGTTCGACCCACGGTCGCCCCTTTTTTTGAATCGCAGTCCTTTTGTAGCCCATTGATTCATGCTCTGGTCCCGCCGCGGGCGCGAGCATCCTGGCTCCCAAGCCACGGAGACCGGGCCATTGATATCTATCATACTTGTGGTCTCCCACACGTCATTGGGACCTTTTCCGCACAAGAAGTGGGCAATACAACAATCGTGTCATGATCGGCATTCGCCCATGATACGATGGCTGCGATGGATCGGTGAAGATAGTCAAAAGAGGAGCGACCGTGGGTCGAACACGGGACCCTAGGATTAAGTTGCCGTAAACGTTTTGACTGCAATCCCATACTCTACCACTGAGCTACCGCTCCACAGTATAGAATTACGAAAGATTAAAATAAAATAATCATTCAAAGATTGCGTCGCTTTGGTCTCGGCAATGGTTCTGCACAGTCATCTTCGGTCTATCATCACTTCAGTACCAAGGCAGGGCCGGATCACGAGAGCATCGAAGTGCAACTTGGAACAAGATTATGGACACGTTTTCATGCCAATCGTTAATGAGCCATTATAGTACATTCTCAGGGTAACAGGGCGGACTGGGTCGATCCACCACCCCTTCGTTCCGTCATCGGGTATATCAATCGTCACTGGCCTCAGTGGCAGCAAACAAGTACGGCGGCACCTAGTAGGTGGTGTCGACGTTGGCACCAGCTCCCTCGCGCTTAGCGCGACCCTTCTCGACCATGCCCTCGTTGTGCATCATGCCGCCCGCCTTCTCCATCAGCTTGCCCATAGTCGAGTCGTGCTTCTTGTTGTGCTCGGAAGAGGTGCCGTGGCTGGCACTCTTGTTCCCAAAGCCGGCGCCGCCGGTTGCGCCACTGCCGTATTCGGTGCTGCCGCTGTAGGCGTCGGTGGTGCTGCCGGTGCCGAAGCGGGTGTCGTCGTTTTCATAGCGGGAGTCGCCGCCAGAGGTCTTGTTGCCGAAGCCTACGCCGCCCGCGGTGCCGGACCCATATTCGGAGGTGCCCTCGCGTGGGTTGTGGCCGCCGTAAGAGCTGTGGCCGTGCGTGCCTTCACGCTCGAGGGAGTCGGTTGGGCCGGTGGACTTTGGGTGTGTGGTTAGTGACGGAATTCATAAGGTTCGGGAAAGATGTGGAGATACGCCGTAGGAAGACATGATGGGCTGTGCTTGGATGGTTTAGGGTTCGTTTTGTGTCAGTTTAGGAGAGTGGGACGATGCGCGGAGTGACGGAGGAAGGTGCTTTTAACCAAAAACAGTCCTGCACACTTACGCCATAAGCTCCGCCAGCAGTACCAGTGCTGTAGTCGTCAGGGCCACTGCCGTATGTATCACGGCCACCGGCGCTAGTGTCGTGAATCCTGTTTGGGAGGGCTTCCTCAGCGCCTCTTGGGACGGCTTTCTGCAGACCGTGGGGAACCTTGGAATCACCGGTAGCGTGGGATTGGCCAACAGACCTGTCACCGTAGGTGTCGTTACCATAGCCTCCCGTGGTCGATGAACCGTAGTTGTCGTTGCCGTAACCTCCGGTAGTGGACGAGCCGTAATTGTCACGGCCTAGACCGCCGGTGGTGCCGGACGAGTAGTTGTCACGATCATTGGTGCTGTTGCCATAGCCTCCAGTCCGGCCAGAAGAGTAGTTGTCGCCAGTGGTGCCGTAGCTATCGCCGCCAAGACCGCCCTCGGTGCGGGAGGAAGAGTAGTCGTCGCCGTAGCCAGTGCGGCCGCTGGTGTCATGGAGCCTATCGGGAAGGGCCTCCTCGACCTTGGTTGGGACGGCCTTCTGCAGACCATGGGGAACCTTGCTATGGCCGGTAGCGTGGGATGCGCCTACGCCTCCCTTACGCTCACCGTAGCTATCGTTGCCGTATCCAGAGTTGTCATAGCCAGAGGTGGTCGAGTCACCGTAGGTTCCAGTGCGGTCGGAGCTCTGTCTCACTGATAAGCAAATCTTGGCGTGCAGCGGAGGTCACCCAATGATGGGATGAGGTGGAGAAGGGACGTACACCGTAGCCTCCAGAGAGGGAGTCGTTGCCGTAGCCACCAGCTTGGCGGCCCTGCGAGGATTGTATTAGATGCAAGCCACGCAGAGAAGGTCAGATAGGTTGACGATAAGAGCTTACAGTGTTGATATCGTCGTAGTTGGACATGATTGGTGGTGAGATGTGATTTTGTGTCAAGGGTGGACGAAGACGTTTAGTCAAAAGTGTTGTACGGAGAAGATGAGTTCGCTGCAGAAGAAGAGCAGCAATGTGTTATATATGCTCTCACGAGCCCATCTCGAATGCTATTTCCCTGGCAGAACAGGTTCGGTGAGCGAATGGCGTCACGTTCGCACGTCTTCGCGATGTGCTCTTCTAGAAGCGTGCATGGCCTGCTCTTGCTGCTCGCAACAGATGGAAAGCGCATGTTCCTGCCTTGGACGACGTATGGGTTGATACAGTGACGCAGCTCGTCCCTATGCTATCCCTGTTTGTGCCCTGCAGCGGACGATCCATGTCAGCGTTGTGAAACGCCGTCGTCCACTGACGGAGGCAGGATCCTGCAGCTGAAGCAGTTAGGCTTCTCCGCAATTGATGAATTGGTCGCCCTGAAGGGCTTTCTCGTGTCACTGCCGTAGGACGTGCTCCGGCCGAAGTCAGTCCAAACGAGCACATGCACTTCGTCCTGCCAAGTTTCTCAACTTTCTCGCAGGGTCCACTCGCTTCACCACCATACATGACGCCTGCTCAGCCACACCGCAGATCGCATTCTGACACAGTTTTGCACACACGGCGAGAGTCTCGATCAGTGGGAAGTGGAATAGCGCCAACGTGCTGGATCGTCGTCCTGCAGTGCACCGCCATCGTGAGGCTGGTGAGATGACGTCAGCTTTTTCATCTCGAAACCCCAGGTCAATATTCATGCGCCATGACGTTACACAGGACCCTTGCCGAGACTACTGAGAGCCATGTGTGGAATCGAGCAAGGATCGGGGATAGGCCAACATCAGCTCGTGTTTCGACCAGCATGATCAGGACACGGCTGAATCGAACCGCAAGCACAAACATTCCTGCCAAGTCAGTCGAGGAGTAAAGGCTCGAATCTTACAACAACAGAAGCCTGACGTATGCTCTTGAGCCAACAATCCAGCGCGAGCAAGTGTCGTCCTCACTCTTGGCATTTCAGTAAGACTACCTCATCCGCCATGAGAGCCGATACCAAGTGTAACTCGCAAGAGCCGTCTGCGTCGTGGTATCCAGTACACCCGTCCTCTAACAGCACTACGCGCCATCTCTATCCAACAACAACACCCCTCCTTAGTCCCAAACACCCTCAGCTTGTTCCCATATACACTCCAGAAGTCGGTCCCGAACCTAGGCATCAGACGTCCAGGAACCCACTCCTGCGCTTGGCCCCAAGTATCCGGGGCGCTGACGCCGTCTGTATCAGATACCACCTTCGTGGAGGTTGGGGCGCTTGAGGATGGTAGGTTGTCGAAATCCAGCACCTCCTCCGCGTCTACCGTCTCGTCTTCTACAGGCGCGTCGGCCAGCTGATCGAAGGCTGTGGCATGTGCGAAGCGGTTTGTTGGTGCCTTTGTGGCCGGTGCAGGTGCAGGTGCTAGTGCGGGTTGCAGCATTGAGTTCGCTTTGGCCTTCTTCTTTTTCTTCTTTCCGTCATTGGACATCGTAGTTTGACAAGTGTCCGTTTCTGTTGCGCTTTGCTGCGTTGAGGCGTGTTCGGAATCAGCGTCTCTCTTGCCTCCTGTTTGCCCGTCGCCTGTCAGTGCTTTTACTGGTGCCAGCAGAAGGCCTTTGACGCCGTTGATAGCTGAGGTGAGAGTGCTAGCCACGGCAGGTGTTGATGATGTGCCAGAGCCCGGGGCAGCGCCATCCAACTTGACACCACCAACTTCTTCGTCGCCCGGAGTGTCGATCTCGATATAGCTCCCTTCTGACTCTAGTTTGGCCGAGAGTCGAACGGCGACCTGCGCAGTGAGGAAGCTGTCGTAGCCCGCTTCATGGAAAGCCGTAACGCCTTGATACTTTCCGTGGTCTTTGTGTGTCTCTGTAGTCACGTCAGGGATCGTCATTGAGAGGGGGTGAGACGATAGTGTACTCACCTAACAAAGGATTTTCCTGTTTGTTCAATTGGTCCGCTATTTGCTCCAACGAGGACGCCGGGTTGATGTCTCCGCAGTTGTGGGTGGCCATGTACTTTGTGTCCACTACAACGGGGAAGATTTCATGGATGAGGTCTGCAAACTCTTCTACAGTGTCCGGCAGATCACCAACGAAAGTGCGGTAGATGTACACGAGATCGAGGAAGCAGTTGTGCCCCACAACAACCCTTGGTTTGTCCTTGAGTCTTGCTTGCGCGCGTGTGAACCTAGCTTTGTAGTCATTCAGATCCACGAAGACGGCTTCGCCGGTCTGCGGATCCACTGCAAAGGACTTTGGATCGATTTGGTGCAAATCACCACCACACATGGCTTCTATGACCCATCTGAACCCGGTTTGTCGGATGATGCGTTCTCTGGTCTCCCGTCTGCGACGCTGCTGGATGAAGTCTTCGCGCTCTTGATTGAAATTGACGATCTGGATAAAGCCGTGTTTCGATATAGTGACCAGATCAGGGTATTCCGCTCGGACAACTTGATGAACAAGTCGTTTCTCGAACCTCGATAGCTCGTTGCTCACAGGCGCTTCCGTGCCGCTTGCTACGACCAGAGGGCCAATGTTAAGATAGTCGGCGTTCGGCTTGTTCGTTACCTTCCACCGTTCGATCTCCGCGCGCACTTTGCGGAGGAGTTCCAATGACTCCTTGTCTTCAGGGTTGATTTGCATGTCGTCAAACGTCCTTGTCTGCCTCGCGGCAGCCCTTTCCTTGGCCAGCTGTGCTTCCTTCCGTGACAGATAGCCAACACCCCAAGTGAACGGCAGGTCCATCTGAAAGCCGACGCTAAGCAGAAACTCGACGGCACCGCTATGAAACGCGAAGGTCCGGTCAATGTCGATGCGTTCTTCAACAACCG